ATCATGTATTAGAAGGAACTTCTTTTTTATTTTAATTGGACTTACAGTTAAGAAATAGTCTTGAGTCCTAGAACAGAGTTTGAAATTTGAATCAGGATAAATTTTTTTCGGTCTTTTTGAGATAGGGTCCCCCTGCAGCCCCAGCTGGCCTGGACCTCACTATATAGACCAGGCTGGACTTAAACTCAAAGAGATCCGCCTGCCTCTGCCTCCCAAGTGCTGCGACTACAGGTGTGCACCACCACGCCCGGCGTGGGGTAATATTTTTAAACACTCTGATTACTCAGGCTGGAGGGGTGGCTCAACATTTAAGAGCACTGGCTGTTCTTGTAGAGGATCTGAGTTAAGTTCCCACCATCTACCTGGTGAGTGACAACTGCCCGTAGGTCGTGTTCCAGAGGATTTGACATCCACTTCTGGATTCCGCGGGCATTGAACCCAGTGATGCCTTACATACATTCTATGGTTTCATTCAAATGTAGGTTTTCTAAGAGCGTGTTGTTTAATTTTCTTGCTATTTGATAAATGTTCAAAATTGTTCATGCAGTGACTAAAAGTTTCCTACCATGGTAGGAAGAAAATGTATTTGATATGGCAAACCTTTAAATATATTTCTTTTCTTGAACTTAAAGATGATTTGTTATGTATATTATGCTGACTTGAGGAACAAATGAGTACTCTATGGCTTTGTGATGGCTACAATATTTATTGATACTGTTGACTTAATGTAGTGTTTCAGTGTTGTGTCCTATTGGGTTGATCTTTCCAGTGTCCAATTGTTATAATAAAATGTCTTTTATTCATTCTCCTCCCTCCTGTCTCACTTGCATTCTACTTGTGTTCTTAAAATTCAATATTTTTTGAAAGAATATGGATGCATGTTGTTTTTTATGTATATTTCAATGTCTCTTTATTTGAGAAGTTAGTAATTTTAGTCAATAAAATTATTGCTGTTTGAAGATTCTTTTGCCAGTTTTCTTAATTTTTTTTTCAGATTTTTGTGGTATTTTGCTTCTTACATCCAAATTACTGTTTTCTTTCATGAATTTATTGATTTTATTTGTAGTGTTATCATGAGTGGAATAGTTTCCATTTGTTTATCTAGTTGTTATATATTATTGATTTGTGATTACTGAGACACTTGAAGATAATATTACATAGCAAGTACTTCATAAACTACAGCTTATCAATAATTATGTTCAATTATATTAATTTTAAGACAACTAAGTAGAAACAAATGTGAATACACTGAGAAAATACATGAAAGAATACTATTTTATGAGTTGAAATTTTATAATATGTATTGTATAGGAAATAACTGTGGATTTGTATGCTGCAGTATATATTGAAAACTTTTAGGATTTCTTTTCTTCGATCTTTTTGAGACAGGGTTTCCCTGTTGCCCCAGCTGTCCTGGAACTCACTATGTAGATCAGGCTGGCCATGAACTCACAGAGATCCACCTGCCTCTGCCTTCTGAATGCTGGGATTAAAAGTGTGCGCCACCACACCCGGCATAAACTTTTAGTTTTTAAAAGAAAATGAAATGTATATAGCACATTTGGATAAAGAGGATTAACTACCTGAACTGTATCTTGTATTTTACACAGGTTTCTGTAGTCACATATCAGTCCCATGACACTATTTGTTTTAGAAAAGTCCTCTATGACTATAGATTCTCTTAGTGTCTAAAATTAAGTTTCAGAGGAATTTTTTCACCCTTATTCATTTCTTTCCCCCAAGATAGATTTCATTTACAACAGCAGTGTAGGTGACACATCATCAAAACTGTTTAAGATTTGACTCATAGTAGACAAACGTCTAAAATTTGTAATTTACTATATATTAGATTTGATGACATTTTTGTTTGTTTTTGCTTTTAATAATAGATTTTGGGGGAGAAAGGGACAAGATGCATGTTCAATGTAGCCTAGACATTTCTGAAAAATGGTAAGCATGCCAAACAGACTTGACAAATAATAGTCCTCTAGCCTTGGCCTCCTGTGTACTAGAGTTCCAGGAATGTGTTACTGGCTTTTTCAAATATTAGTAGGTTTTACTCAATACACTGACTATTGACAGATTGTGGATGTTCATATGCACACTTTGTGTGACATTAATATAATGTGAGGTTCTTCTATTTGAACACCTCGCATGGTGAATAAAAAACATAAAAGAGGGTCAGCTTGCCTGGTATATTCTTTCTACAATTTAGGCAATGTTACCAATCTATTTTCAAATATGTATCACTTGAATAACTAATACACATGCTAAAAATGAATGCGACCCATAACAGATGTCTAAAAGTTATAGATAGGTACAATCTGAAGCTGTAGTTTATCTATTTCAAACACCCCTCCTGTAGCCAGTAATCTCTTGAGTAGCAGTAACTCCATTTTGCTTTGAATTTAAGGACTTTTTAAATTTGTGATATTATCAATTAATATTAATTAATCTGCAGAAAATCTTTTGTAAGTAGAAGAGTACATGGACCTCCAGTGGTGACTTTTTACTATTTCCTGTAGGCAGGGCTTTATTCCACCAATTTCCAGTTTCTTTTATAAGATCACCACAACAATTCTATGTAAGATGTTCAATATTTACAATTTTTATTTTACAAGGAAAAACTGTAGGGATAGATATATTAGTTAACTCGTCCAATCTATCATGGTAAGGCCGTATAGGAGAAGAACCAAACACAAATCCTCTAAGCCTGTAGCCCCCATTCTATTCTATAAAGGTGGTAGAAATTGATGACCCTATTCCTAATATATTGTGTTAAAGACAGCTAAGAAAGACATTCAAGAAGAAATTTATACTAAGTGTAATATTTTTTTTTTAAATTCTGCAACACGTTGTAGTGATTTGGAGGACCGGGAATTTTAGTTTGATAATAAAGTACTTGCGTAGCATGCATGAAGTGCTGAGATGCTTCTACAGAGACCAAAGAGAAAAGAACTACAAATTGTTTTAAAGAATATGATTTGTGAGTAATACCATGAGGGGGAATACCTCAGTTCTCTTATCATTGAGTTGGTTAGCAAATATTTCAACAATAAGAAGACTCTTAGGCATTACCCTAAAGATGTGTGAACAATGGGAAAAAGAATAAAAACAATATTTTCCCTGAGGAGATGATGGTGACTGGGAGATGAGAAATCAGAATTGACTCATGCACAGCAGGTTTACAATCCCCAAAGAGGAGGACATGAGCACCTTAAATACAGATACCTCAAGGAAATAACAGTACACAGGCTCCAGTGTGTGAGTGTTATCACCTTATTTGCTGCTATATCTGTTTCCTGGAAAGGTACTGAGAAGGCTTATACTTTACATACAGCCAAATATGTTACAAGATTAAACTCATATGGAGACTGGTTTCTAAGTGGATAGTGTGATAGTAGACAATATACTATATATAGTTGATTATGTATGATCATTAAACTATGAACAAGTTCAGACATATATTCAGAGTGTTAACGAAATTATTGTGCAGCAAACTCTTAGAATTAAAAACATGTGTCAGAGCCTGATATTGCCCATCCAGGAACACAGCAATAATTAGTGATAAGGAAAACATTTTCTTTCTTATGTAGGTAAGTTTTGAAATTAGTCATGACACTTTATTGAATTTTTAAACAACTTCATTAAGATAACAGTAAAAAGTAAAATGGTATAAGAATGCCTATAACATTGTTCTGACTAACATATGCATTGTGGGATGATCTCTCACTAGAGTTAATTGACATATGACTCCTCTCTACATCATGATTCTTTTGGTGTGTGTAGATTTCATTAAAAGATTATACTCACAAGTATCATACCAGAAAATTCTCCATGCAATATGGCATAGGTAACTGTTACACGTTGAGCACTAGATGTCTAGAACCTAATCATTCTAAATAACTGAACTTTATTATATTTCTTTAATCAGATTCAGTTAATTTTCTCTCCTGAATTGTAGCATCTGACATCCCACTCTCTGTGTGAATACCACTCTTTGAGGCTGCACATTTAATGGATATCATATATTTTCATATTTTCCCTTTTTGCTATGTTTGTTTAATGACTTCACACTGATACTAGTATAAGGATCTGAAATGTGTCTTTCTCTGTCCATTTTTGCAATTCAAAGATTCAAATGAAATTTTCTGATGAATATGTCCTAGATAGGTGAATGGAGTATTTTCAGTTAGTAGGCAATTCTGTTGCACTGCCTTTATTCACACATTATGAATATTTTCTAAAATTATAAATTATCTTATGACTCTACCAGTATCTTTTTATTCAATTGTAAAAGATAGCCTACTATTTTTATAATTTTGTGTATATGTATTGTCTGTCTGTATGTAAGTGCACTGTGTTCTGTCCATGCCTACGGAGGTCAGAAGAGGATGTTGGATGCCATCTGTAGTTACAGATGATTGTTAGCTATTATGTGGGTGCTGGGAACCAAACGTGGGTTTTCCACAAGAGCAGCCATTACTCTTAACTACTAAACTATCTAACAGGCCCTCTACCAGTATCTTGATCATTCCTAGACTCTAATTCTTTTGTTTTGAAATAAGAAAAAGTACTCATAGCTCTACCTCACCCAGAGTTAAGTCTGAGTTGATGGCAACACCAGGATCCCAGAGTTTCTCTCTGGATCAGGAAGAAGAGGAGGGAAGGACAATTCTATCCTAGTGCTTTCAGATTAAAACTTCTTCCTTGATTTAAATTGCAATTATCATGGGCTACAAAAGCCTCAGTATCAGTACTGTAGTTTCAGTTGGAAACGTATTTTACTATAATTAGCTTTCAAGAATCTCATAATGAGATGATGGTCTTACTCAGTATCATGATACCATGAAAGGGGAATTCTCTTAGTTCCTGTTGGAAATTTTCAGACATTCCTATCATATATCTCAAATATATACTAGAAGCAATGGTGGAAAGTCTTGAAAGGTCCTCTAATATCACCATTATTTTTATGTTTTCATAGGTTTGCTTACAAAAGAATGGCTCTGGCAAATGTTTCTAGGGTAACCGAATTCATTCTCTTAGGGTTAACAGAACAACCTTCTCTCCAAATACCCCTGTTCCTGCTCTTTCTAGTAATGTACATGATAACTGCACTTGGGAATTTGGCTTTAATCATTCTAATTGTATTGAATTCTCACCTTCACACCCCCATGTACTTTTTCCTATTTAACTTGTCCTTCGTAGATCTCTGTTATTCTTCTGTGATTACACCCAAAATGCTGATGAACTTCGTACTGATGAAGAACATTATCTCCTATGTAGGTTGCATGACCCAGTTCTACTTATTTTGTTTTTGTGTTATTTCTGAATGTTATGTACTGACATCAATGGCCTATGATCGCTATGTTGCTATCTGCAACCCTCTCTTGTATAACATTGCCATGTCTCCCAAGTTGTGTTCCTATCTTATGTTTGCTTCATATTTGATGGCATTTTCTAGTGCCATGATCCACACTGGATGTTTGCTGAGACTGACCTTCTGTGATAAAAACATCATCAACCACTATTTCTGTGATCTTCTCCCTTTGCTGCAGCTCTCCTGCACCAGCACCTATGTCAATGAAATAGGAATTTTCATTGTAGCAGGAAAAGACGTTATTCTTCCCACTGCTATCATCTTTATTTCCTATGGTTTCATCCTCTCCAGCATTCTTCACATAAGGCCCACTGAGGGCCGGTCCAAAGCATTCAGCACCTGCAGTTCCCACATAATTGCTGTTTCTCTGTTCTTTGGGTCAGGTGCATTTATGTATCTCAAGCCTTCTTCGGTTGGATCAATGGATGAGGGAAAGATATCTTCCACTATTTATACCACTTTGATTCCCATGATGAATCCACTAATTTATAGCTTGAGGAATCGAGATGTTAAAGAAGCCTTGAGAAAAACCTTGAGCAAGAAGCTATTCTAATAAGAAATAAATTTATTTTTGTTCCTTATGAGTGCATATCCTGATGCAACTGTAGGGACCAGGAATGCAGAAGGGAAACAGGGAGGTAAAGGGAAAGAAGGAGCCTGAGGGAGAAGAATAGTAGGATAAAGGTGATACTAAGGGAGAAATATTTAAAAAGGGATTGATTAAAGGGGAGGCAGAGGAGGCCTATTCAAAGACTAAAGGGGAAAAATTCACCAGACACACTATGGGGATGGAAGAAAGCCCTTCCAGAAGCAATATGGTTGTTAAATGAACATCCCAGTGCCAGAGGTGGGTTGCCCCTCTATGAACTGTTGGCCTGAGGGACCCTAGAGGTCCCCCAAACAATAAAGGCTGTTGCCAATAAAGTTGGCTGTACCAGAAGTGGACAGAAAAACCCTAGTGCTGAAGACACTGCATGATGTGAGTTGGGAGAGAGAAAAATCAAGCTTGGTCTAAGTTGGAAACTCCCTGCCACTGGTTGCCTGACTTTCAGGGTGCCAGAAGGTGATAAGCAGGCGACTCGGGGAGAATCATTCCCTATAATTCTGCTCAACCACGGACTCAGCATCTTGCATTATCAACATACCAAGTAAGACATTCCTGCTGATGCAATAGTGGAGTGGTAGTGTATGTACAACCAGCAAATTTTTGATAGGATATAATGCCCACACTTAGGGGTGGAACACACATTTCATACTGTAGACTGGGCCAATCCCCTGTGGCAGGGGAGACTATATGCCCCAGTGGGAAGCCACTGCAATTGATGTGATGCACCTGCTAAAATACCATCCAAGCATTTGTGCTTACACCCATCAGTTAAGTTATTCTAGCAGCCACTGTTCTGATGTTCTTGCTTCTTCTTGTTTGTGTTTTTATAGTAGATAGAATCCCACTGAAATGGGCCAACAGCCCATGGAAAATGAACAATGGAAAAAATTTGGTGCCTTGCCACAATGGGTGGAAAATCATACCATACCTACCACCCCTCCAAGGCTCAGGGACTTTTGAAGAAGAGGTTGGTGGGAAGAATGTAAGAGTTGGAGAAAGGGGTGGAGTGTTAACCTGAAGTGTCCTCCATGCCTGAAATCTATAGTCACACCTCTTTCCCATGTTCATCAAGGAGTCGAAGGGGGAGTCAGTTACCCCTCACACTCAATCAGTGAACCTTAGCTACATGAGGGCAAGGGGCTAAATATATAGAAGCTGAGAATGCCATGAGGTACCTCTCCTACCATTTTGTGCTGCTGTAGGGAAGTCACAGGATCTACATATGAGTGTGGACTTTCCAGTGCAGCTGTAAATGAGGGGAGGGTTGCACACTCTTTTGTAAATAAACAACTAAACTCCTGCCCTATTCTTTGTTAGCAAGCCCAACAAACCTGTTAGGATTAAAGAGAGAGAGGGAGAACAGAGCTAATAGAAACCTTGATTATTCCACCAAAGTTGACCCCATGTTGGCAAATCCTTTGGTCTTTGATTATTTGGGATGGGGAGGAGTTTTTTGAGACAGGATCTTCCTGTGGCCACAGCTGGCCTGGTGGTCATTGAGTAGGCCGTGCTGGCCTTGAACTCAGAGATCTGCCAGGCTCTGCCTTCCACAGGATGGGTTTGAGGACATGTGTCACCACACGCAGTTTTGGTCTTTAATTTCTTATCTCTACTTTTCCACCCTTAAACTTCTATGCATATATATACCTGCTTCAAGTTATTTCTGGAAACATGTATTAAAAATTACTTCACTTTTGAAATAATAAAAATATTCTTTAAGATGGAGATCTTTTTTAAAGGTTAAAAAACTCATTCAAGTTTGTGTCTTGTAGGGCTTATACTGAGTTCAATATTGTATAACTGTATTGACTCAGCTGTGAGCCTGGAAACATGCAGCCACTTTTGAAAGAGATGTGCTCTTTCTCTGGAGTGTGTTACTGAATATGTTAAATCTGGAGTGAAATGCTTCTTCTAATCATGTGGTTATCAAAAATTTTAAAAATAATGATTAAAAACATAATAATTAGTAGATGTGAAAAACATTACCACTGAAATCTACCTGATGACTTTATATCCATGCTCAGAAAGTAACCAACTGTCACTAGTAATAATCAGGTATATAGAGATTAGAATCACATGTACAAACATCTTAATGTCAATTGCATTGAAAATGAATTTTTCTGTATGAAACTGTGTATTTTAATAATGAAATGGAGATCTTTTTTAAATTAATTAATTTATTTATTTTTACACACACTTCCCAAAGGCACCCTCCAATAGCCTCCCTCCCCCTACTAAAGCCCTTATACTCTGATATCCCTGCTAGTGTCTGCTGTGTTGTCAGCACCCCCAGCCATTCCCCACTACTTGCCCCTCTGATGAATCTAGTCAGCCTAATTAGAGGACTTTGTTTTAGGAGGGTCAGCTGTTCCTCATCTAGTGGTAATCAGTTGTCAATATTCCTTTGGATAAGATTGAGGTCTGCTGTTCATTTTCCCAATTCTATGCTGGGTTACTATCTGGGAATCCCTTGGGCCACCCTGGCCAACAACTCAAAAGAAGGTATCTC